TGGAACTCTGACGTATAAATTGTAAATTATTATAAGTTTTTTCTAAAATTTACCTAGAAGAAAGAATTAGATAAACAGTACTGCAAATTAATATAATCAATCAGGCCTCTCAATAAATAAAAGCTTATTTTTTTAACCAAAAATTTTTAATTTTGAGTGCAAAAGTTTGTGTAATATACTGAATAACATTAGCGGGTCGTTTTAATTTATAATTTTTACTTCCTTGTAAATGAAGTACTGTAAACCCGAAAAATTTTGGGAACCATATTTCAACAAAAATTCCATTTTGACCGCAATCGAATGCAATTTAACGATGCTTTTGTGTGACATCTGTACATAAGGACAGAATAAAGGACTCTATTTCCCTAAACGAATTACAAAACTGATTTAAAATGGATTCAGAATAGATTTTCCGATGGTGTCTTGTACGTACGTGTGCGTGTGTGTGTATGTATCTCTCATAACTCACAAACAAATAGCCTCAGAACGCTGAAATTTTGTATACAGAATTGTTATAACATGTAGAGAAAATTAGATGAGAAATAATCCATATAAACTGTATGCTTTTGGAAAAAGTTACGCATAATTTGCACTGAGGAATCCACCGAAACCGAGTTAATTTCTTTCCTTATTTTTTCTTATCGGACGGATTTGTAAAAAGATATGCTAAGGAAAATATTTGCAATATTTTTAAAGAATAAATTTTAAAAGTATTTTTACACAGTAAATAAGTACAAAAAAGGAAAGAGCTGGGAGTAGAAACTCGGGTTGAACTACCAATATTTAGTGACTTTCCCGCTTGCTCATAACACATTTTGAAATTAGGCTGAACAAGATATTAAAGAAAATAGAAGATACAGAACATGTAAGAACAAAAGTGGGCTAAATCAGATTTGGGGAATGAGTTTAACGTATGTGTATGCTATTATGAAATATTAGGAAAGTATAAAAGCATGGTTGATCTTTACAATATGGTAACTGGTAGTTTGGCGACATTTTGGAGGCGATAAAGGTTACTACCTGGGACTTTGCTAATAATGTGAGCAGTACTCAGTTCCGATTACGCATTATTTTGTGTGAGGGAAATGACAGATCATGGGATATGTCATGTGATATTAATGGACAAATTACGGTTCTTTAATCGGAAAAGGGGGGGAAATCAGGAAAAATCTGGAAATTTTGTATTTGGTTTATTCTGTGTTGTGTGAAACAGTGTTCGTGAATTTTTGGATCCCATGGCCGTAACTAAAGAAAAGTTTATCAGACACGTAATCAAGATTCTGAAGAAGATTAGGTAAGTTAGTATTTTTAATTATTTGAGGATATTATTTTTATGCATTGTTCTAAATGTAAGGTGGAAGTAAAGGAATTTGGATTGTAAGGTAATTTTTATTAATTTAATGTATGTGCTCATTTATATTTTAAGTAGTGTTTTTGAATTTAATTATATTTTAATTAAATGATAGTTATTTTGTGAATTTTATGTTTGTAGGAATTTGGTATACGTTTAAGTTGAAGTAAACGTGCATGGAAATAATTTAAATATTTGATACTAAGTATTTGTAATGCTTGCGGTATGAATTCGTTGGTGACGTGTATAATGTAATAGATGATTTAGAGGTAAAAGTTTTTGGATATTTTATTTATTTATATGTGGAAATGTCATATTTGGAAAGGTAGATACTTTTTCGCGATCAGGTAATTCATATATGTGGTTTTTTGTTTTTTTTTTTTGGTTTTTTTTTTGGTTTTTTGTTTTTTTGTTTCTTTTTATATGTTCTTTTTACCGGGTTTAAAGATTCAGAAAATTGTCATGTATTTTCGTGAAATTTTTCTAATTTATGAGAAAAAAGCAGTGTACATGGATATAGTGAAGAGTGTGCGCAATGCCATTTTTGTGCAATTCTGGGATGTTTTTTTTAAGTAAAAATAAGTCGGCGTGTGTACATGGTTTATGTGTATGTGTTATTTTGAAAAAACGCGTAAGGAGTATGGTATTGTGCACTTTTTCCCAATTTTGCAGTGAATATTTGTCATGATTAAGCAGTTTTGTTTGATAAAATTTCTAAGCATAAGTGTAATTGGCTAGTAGATTGTTGGAAGAAGTGTTCAGTAGATAAAAAGAAAAGAAATATGTCTTCGGCGGGGAAAAAAATAGAGGGTTGCTGTAGGAGAGTTGGTTGCCAAATTTTCGCCAAGTTACCATAATGTAAAGATCAACCAGAAATTCTTTTTGACATAATCGAAAGTTCAAGCTTACTTTTATAAAATTGCTCTAACAGTCTGCAAAAAAAAAAAAAAAAAAAAAAAAAAAAAAAAAATAACAAGCCGGATCCAATTTGAAGATTAAGAAACAATGCAATCTGCAACATTAATTGAAATACATAATTAGATAATTTTAGCTTAGCTTATACGGTTTGTTATACATAAACAATAACGCGTAAATGTAATGTGCGCATGTAAAATGTAAAAACGCATTCGCAGAAAGTTTGTAGCTTTGAGGTCCAGTTTATAGATCATTTCAGATTAAAGACTTGACTGTATCATGTTTAACCGGTTAGTTTTATATCTACATGCTTATTATCTGTGAATTTTTACTACCATATGCTTAATATATTGTTTTGTGTGCTAACTTGAATTTACGTACACTACAAATCACGTTTACTTGATTTGAGCTCTGCGGCTCGGTTTGAGCTTGGCGAGTATAAATGCAACGTTGCCATTGATTTCTCTGCAGATGAAAATCGCTTTCAACTGTAAAATATGTGGTAAAAAAATCATTTGAACATTTTTAGAAGCAGGAGACCAAAAAAAGTTGACGAGGTATGGTAAGTATCTTTTACAAGAATTTAAAAAAGACCCGACATTAAGTAGCCCGGATTAGAAACTAAAAGAAAGAAGTTTGTGCTGAAATTGTAAGAAAGAGCCTTAAAGAGTTTGGTTATAAAGGCCAATCAGCTCAAAAAAATACTAAATGTCTGAAGCTACGATAATTATGCACGGAAAAGTAAATATAACCTATTCAGAGCAGATGGTAATCATAAGCTATGGAGACAACAACCAAATAAAGAATTTAAAGTGAGAAATCTTCAAACAATGGTAAAGCATGCTGAATGTTCCATTATGATTGGCAGTGGCATGGGAAGCACTTCTGCAGAGAACCCGGTAAATAAAGACATCGCCAACTTCGGTGATAATAGTTCAAACCTGGTAACCCATCGGATTTATCCTATTAGCTTGTTCGAAGTTTGCAACTACTCCTCTTGCGTTTATTTTGTTGAATTATCACTGTCGTTGTTCGCATTTGCAGATTTATATTATTCTTCTCTTATTTATTATTATTTTATCTGAATTTTTTTAACAACGAATAGATAGAAATATTTTCGCAGATAGATGCCGGTTCTCGGTTCGGGATGAAAGGTAGAAAATATGGCGGGAGGGGTGAATGCTAATTTGTAACAACGGCTGTTCACGTTGTGCTCTTAATTATTAACAGCTCTTAAGAACCATGAGCAGAATCATGAGGTTTCCAACTTCTAAAATAATTTGCTTCCGTAGGCCGCAAAAATGTGCATGTGTATTTTAAATACACATGCACATTTTTGCTTTTATTTTTATTATTGGTTATTGTCACATAAAATTATGAGAATAAATTAATTTTTATGGCGTAAAATTTTAACACGATAATATATTGTTAATGCTTTTCTATCAATAACCTTTCAGAGGATGGCAGGTGTGACATAAATAAGATGATTAAATTGAAATAAAAAAATTATTGATTATCTAAGATGACAGAATAAGTTTGATGCATCACCATGGTCATCAAAACTAGCAAACCATTGCTGGTGTAAGGAATATATTGTTTTCTGTGTTAACTGGAATTTAAGACAATTTTATTCGTATATCACGTTTAACCGGTTAATTTCAGTATATTAATACTAATTTATATTTTTTAAATGAATTTTTATTTCCGCTATAAACGCTTAATATATTCTTTTCTGCGCTAACTTAAATTTAATACAAATTTATTTTCGTATATCACGTTTAACCGGTTAATTTTACATCTACATGCTTATTATCTGTGAATTTTTACTACCATATGCTTAATATATTGTTTTGTCTGCTAATTTGAATATACATGTACTAAAAATCACGTTTACGGCTCGGCTCATCGTCAATTAATCGCGAGCTTGGCGAGTAAAAATGCAACGGTGCCAACGGGTTCTCTGCAGATGAAAACCCGTGGCATGTCTTATGCATAACTGTTTTATGAATGGCGTAATGGACCATAAGGTGTATATAACATTCTGAAACAAATTTGTATGCCACGGGTCAGTCTATGCGATTATTAACAAATTTTGTGCTCACGCAGGATAATGAAACATGAAGCACTAAATACCAGACTTTTGCTGCTGTTCAGAACACCACCAAAAAGTACATGAAACACCCCCATATTCATTAGACATAAATCCAACTGAACATTTACAATAAGAATTGAGTCGAAGGATCAGAAATAAAGATACAATGAACAAGAAGCTAAAACAACATTTAGGAACACAACACAAAGTGATTACACTAAAATACTAGTTATCAGCATGCTATCTCAATTCAAAGCCATTATTAAGACATCCTACAAAATATTAATTATAATAAAAATACTGTTTTGCACCCATGTTAGAAAAATGTTGAATAACTCTCAAATCCATACTACGGAATCTAAAATATTTTTGATTCTTTAAGGCAGTAAACTTTAATTTCTTTGTAAACATGCTTGAGTCATATCTTGGTTCTGTAATTTTCACACTGTAGAAATAAAATTTCTAGTTCACTGTTTTATAATGAAGCGTTGCTGTTTAGACAATCGAATGAAGGTAGAATACTTTTTGGAGTAACTGTATTTCACAAGACATACCTACTTTACACAGTTTACTGTTAAGACAGTCATGATCAATTAGATGTCGATATTAGTTATAATACGTTACAAAATGTCAAGCGCTTACTTTCAATTCTTCCAGTGAAAATCCACGTCCAAGTCTCTCTTTTGTATGATACCGAAAAGTTGGGCAACGAACTACAGGACGAATAGGGCCCGCTGCTGGTCTTGGTGCGATTAGACGAGCTTTTTTAACACGTTGAGCATGTCTCCTCTTTTTGCGCATTGGTTGATTGAACCATGTTTTTACGTATCTTTGCCAATCCTTGTGGAAATGGCCATTAGGTATCATATTATTCCGTTTCGGGGCCATTTTTGCCTATAATGATTATTAATATTAATGAAGATGATTTTCATTTTAATTCCCTTCAACATTTTAATACACAAACCATTAACATGTAGTAAAAAAGCTTTTAATATTCGTATTGAAGACAATTTCACAATTTCTATATAAACACAATGCATTAATGATAAAACTGCAAACATAACACGTATGTTAGCTTCTCATCATACAAAATGTATTATATTATTTATACACAAAATAAATAATTAACTAAATTAATAAATATCAAAGGAACTGGAATATTTACCTTTATACACTTAGACAAAAAAAATTATTATAATTAATTTAGATTGGGATTGTTATCCTCATGCGCTTTACAAATCCACCATTACTAATACACCGTATTGTTGCCAGCCGGCATACCAAAATGAAAGTTGAATGCCCCAAAATAAAAAAAAAAAACACCAGTTTTAAATTAAGAAAAAAATTTGCTAGGAGTATTCAGTGATTAAATGCATAGAACCAACAAAGTAGGAATTCAAGTATATTATTAAGTTGAAGTTTTAAAAATTAATAAATCAGAAATTTTAGAAATTAGCTGAAATAATAAGCTGTTTCTCCCTTTTTTTGGCGTCAAAGCTCCGAAGAATATCCTAAGTTACTTCTCCATTGTACCTAGGTCCATTAATATTATTTCTTTCTCTCTTCAAAAACAAGGGCCGTATTTTGTTTTTATTCCTTTTTTTTATATAGTCTTTAAAAAAAAATTCGTGTTCGAAAAGACGTAAACATTAACCGTGGTGGTAAAAAGACTTAATGGGCGCAAAACAAAACTTTGCGGAATTTTACTCCGAATGTTTGTAATAATTTCGTAAGAAAAAGAAATGTAATGTTTGTAGTTTCTTGGTTATTGTAATAAAAATAATAGTGTTATATATAATGCTTAAGGTGTTTTGAACTCATCATCAAAATTATTATTTTTTTAATTGTGTAAATTTAATTGTGATCGTTATTTTGTAAATATTCTCATTAAATATTCATACGATGAATAAAATTTCGTATATAACGTTTACGTTGACAGCAAGACATTTTCTCGTACGTCCTATGAAACATTTCCCTAACTTAGTATATGTAAGAACGATCTTTAGTCTAAATAAGTGTTGGGTAAGTTTATTTCTTCCATCTGATTTATTATTAATTTTTTTTTTTTTACTTTAATTGTAAACTTGTGCATTATTAATTCCAGAAATAAAAAGAGCTGAATTTTGAGAGTCTTTATTATACTTTTGTATTATTTGCTATATATATTGATGGCTTATTTGGGAACGTATTAAGGAGCAAAATGAGTCTTTTTAGAAGCAAATGTGAGTTGGCCAATTTCTTCATTGTGAATGGTCATATTTAGACTTTTGCACCTTTTACTGATAACACCTGGAAGGGTGAAAAAATCTGAGTAAAATTTGTAGAATGCGAATTGGCAGATTTTTCCAAAAAGATTGCCAGACTATAAACATTAATCGTAAGCCCACAAACGTTATACACATATCAAAAGAAAATACCAATCCGAATCTTAAGTAACTGTTTTATTATATATTAAACATTATACATATTATATTACTGTTTTTTCTCTCTGTGCAATTCAATCTGTTTTGGCTTAAAAAATATTGGATATCTGTGCAAATCCGCATTGCACAATTGTTGTGATCAGTTATAAATAAGTACATTAAGATTATCAGGTACATAAAAAGTACAACGCCTTACAATAAATGCAGAATATCAACCTCCTTCACAGCTGAACACATTCTCATGCATGACTATAAACTATAACATAGGCAGTTTTTCCCTTTTATTCTCTTTCATATGTATATATTATTTAAGTTAGACTGAAGGGTACCCCTTGTATTATTGCGAAGTTGTTGTTTCATTTATCGCCAAGTTGTTTCGTTTATCACCAAGTTGTTGTTTCATTTATGGTAACCTGAGAAGTTGAATGTTCCATAAATATACTGTTACCTACAATTGGGTGCTCCTTTGACTTCTTAAGTGAAAATATATCGATGTGTACATGGACAAAGTCAAGGGAATGCTCAATGCCAAGTTTGTGCAATTCTCTGATGTTTTTTTAAGTGAATATAGGTCAACGTGTACATGGATAAGTCAAGGGAGTGCACAATGCGTAGTTTGTGCAATTTTGTGATGTTCTTTTAAGTGAAAATGGGTCGGTGTGTACGTGAATACCGAGTTACTGCAATTCTTTGACTTGTTATTTTGTATTTGTGTAGCAGTGATTTTTGGAGCTAAAATTGCCGCTGCAGAAAGCCAAAATAACGGGTCAAAGAATTTTTTTCAGTTAGGTTGCACATACTCCGTATCCATGTGCCGCCAGTTTTTGCCAAGGGGTACCCATAAATATACTTTTACCATATAATTTTATTTTTAAGCTACTTGAAGCCTTTTAAGTCTACTGCTTTGCGTACATCATGTTTTGAATTTAAGTGAAATTTGGTAGTTTATAAATTATAAAATGGCAAAAAGTGAGGGTAATTTTTCTTTCTAATCCCTTTATACATATCATGACATATTACTTTGGTACTTTTCCATTTTGCCAGCGCAGGCAATAAAGTCACGAATAATGATACAACTGGTGCCAAACAGAATGTCCTCGCTGGTAACCTATTACGCCTCATTTTCAGAACAAATTACTGCTATTTCTTATCAGATTGATTGTCTCTTTCAATATTGGCGTACAATTACCTAGAATTTTTACCAGGTAGTTCAATTTTATGCCTCGAGGCCATTCGCGATAATTAAGTCAATTAGGATGAAATCACACCACTCACCCGAACGCAAAATTATAGAAAAGGCAAAGTCAAGGTTAAATTTGTCATTTTTAATGAGAATGCACTAAAGAAGTAAAGCACTGCTGTTTTACATAATTTCTGAGTAACCTATTCGTACGAATTGAAATAATTCTTGCATTTAAACTTGTATTCCAAACTAAGATTTAACTTGAAATTGCTGTAAATAATTACTGAGAGAATTAGATTTATGTAGCATAGTTTACATGGGATGAAATCACTTGTGGTCACGTGATACGAACCAGCAACTCAGGATGTTGAACCATGAAAGCATAGTAAATTCTTAAATTAATGTCTTATCACAAATTTATTGGCTTTTTATAAAATTTTAAATGCTATTAACATGTTTATCCCTTCAAAATAAAAAATTCTTACAACTAACATTTGTGAACGTTTTTTTATGTGCGTACTGTATGTTGTTGCCAATGAAGTCTGCTTGGCGAGATATGAGATGGAAAAGTACCATTCCTTTTTTCAGTTAGGTTGCATTTTTTTTTATATGTTTGTATTAAATATGCTTAAAGTTGTGCATCTTCTCAGTTATTAAGCATTTGTTTTTTTACAAAATATAACTTTTCCCAATATAAGCTGAAATTTTATGCATAAATGTGCAACGTTACAAATAAATACATAATAGTGTTTATCAAAATTGAATGTTTTGCAACAGACAGATCTAAAGTTCCTGAACTTGATTTCTAAACAAGTTTAATTTTCAAGAAATTTATTTAATCAAGTTTGATAAATTTAAAATGGATAATAAGAAGAAAATCATATTACTGAATTTATATAACTTGTACAGTACAAGGTCTTTAATCTGGACTCATCTGGACTTTCGATTCTTGATTAGGGGTTTTTCCGGGTTATAGATCATCAATTTAAATCTCGTAAAATGGCATGCAGAAATTATAAAATAAAAATATGAAACCGTAATTTATGAAGTAAAGAGCAATTATGATGTAAAGGGTATCAAAATTTACAAAAAATAAGCTTAATATTTATTTGTTTACTTTATTAAATATTTCTTTCAACGTGCCCATAGGTTTCTTTTTGTAATGTATGCGTAAAGCATACATTACGTGCGTGCATAATGTATGCGCATGCATAAAGTTTGTGGCTTTGAGGTGAGGTCTGGATTAGGGATCATTCTGGATAATGGACGTCCGAATTACGGACTTTGTAGTGTATCCGGAAAAATTCCAAATCCAGAATTGCCGAAGTTCTGACAAGTCCAGATCTCCATCTTACAAGTTTTAAACTGATGATCTAATATCTGGAAAAATCCAGAATCCAGAATCGACGTAGTTCCGACGAGTTCGGATCTCGGACTCTGTACTGTAAAACAAATTCAAAATGTGTGCCCATATTCAGGTGGAAAATTTTCAAAATTTGTGCCCATACTCATTCCTAGTGCCCATATTCAGGTGGAGGATTAAAATTTGTGCCTTTAAATACCGTTGTTTTTTCACTATGTGAGAAACATACTTACATTCATCCAGATTCTTCATTATTTGATTTGTTTAAATCTAATGCAGGGCCATAATGTTTGGTAGCAAGAATATGAAAACTGATGCAATGCTTTTAGTGAGTCAATGCAAAATGTCATAGGGCTAACGTCTCTTTGGGATAAAAAATAAATAAATAAGTAAAGCTTGCCAGAATGAAATCATTATGTAAGATTGAAAAAATTAAAGTGGCCAGATTAAAACTATATTTAACAGTGAATCTGCCAAATTTGACGAGTCTCATATACTTTAGCTGAAATCTCTGTCTGAGGGTTAAAAAAATGCAATCTTATTTTTATTTTCAGCTTTCAATTTAATGCTTGTATCTGTTTTTAGCTAAATGGCCAATATATTTGTAAAAGAATATATCCTCACAAATTTGAGATACAGTACATAAACTTGTGTACAGAATGAGTCATTCAAAATAATAGTGCAGAACTGTAGGGAAAAAATTGCTATTGTACGAGGGTTGGAACTTTAATAGTGGCAACACAGCTGAAAAAACGCTACGCAACAAAACCAAAGAATATCGCATATACCACATGTGAACTACATACCTACCTTACCACTTAGCAAAAAGACTCGCCCTGCATATGTCACGCGCATGCGGAGTGACACGAAGAACGGATCCTTGTATTAGCTCGCGATCTAAAGTAAGTGTTGTCAGGATGTTTTCAAAACAAGAACAACAGTGTTGGATAAAAATTGAATGTGCCAGAGGTCGTACAGCACGACAGTGTCATCAAGGGCTTCAAAAGGCTTGCAGGGAATCTGCAATGCCTTACAGAACTGTAGCAAGATGGGTGAAAGAATTCAATGAAGGACTCCAAAACGTGACAGACATGCTGCGGCCAGGTCGTCCGAGTGTCAGCGATGCAGACGTGCAAGCTGTTGCCGCACTAATGGACAGTGATCGCCGCCAAAAGATTCGTCAGCTGGCCGGACAAACAGGATTAGCGCATATGACTGTGCTGCACATTCTGAAGGAACGCCTGTCCATGAGAAAAATTGCTTCACAATGGGTTCCACATCAATTGACGGAAATGCAGAAATGGCTATGATACGATGCTGCCCGAACCCACCTGGAGCGCGAAGGAGATGGTTTTTTACACTGTATCATTACGCTGGATGAGACTTGGGCCCGATTGTACCAGCCAGAACTGAAACGCCAATCAAACGAATGGCGTCATCACGGGTCACCACGACGTTCGAAATTTTGTCAGAACCCTAGCAATGTGAAAGTTATGGTGATTCTCGTGTACGACTGTGATGGTGTCATCCTAATGCATACCGTTCCCCCACAGCAGACCGTCATTGCACAGTATTACTGCTCATTTTTGGAGCACAATCTTCGAGCAACTTTGAGAAAAAAACGGTGACACTTTCTTCAGAACGCTCCTCTCCTTTTACATGGCAATGCTCGGCCGCATGCAGTGCAAGCTGTGACTGATTTGTTCAAGCGATGGGGCTGGGAAGTGCTTTACCATCCACCATACTCTTCAGTTCTATGCCCTTGTGACTATGACTTAATTCCTAAGATGAAGGAACCACTTCGTGGCACTCGCTTCCAAACTGTTCCTGAGATTCTTGCGGCAGTAGACTGGTCCATTCAAACTATCAACAAAACAGGTGCTGCTACAGGTGTTCTGCGACTTCCACATCATTGGAAACGGGTTGTACACAATGCTTGCGACTATATTGAAGGACTGTAAAACATGGTGACATGAATGACTTTTGTATTCCTTGTAAATAAATAGTTGCCAATATTAAAGTTCCAACCCTCGTATTATTCAGTCATAAATGA